CTGATGATAAACGCATATCATTTTCATTCATAAAAAAATTGGAGTATCATGCAGACTTTTTCCATCCACTTAATAGATGATGCAGTACTTTATGTTGACCTTTCATAAAATCCCAATAAAAGAAAAAAAATAAATAAAGTTTGTCCTTTGTAATGGGACAAAGTGTGAGAACAGTTCAAGGGGCGTATGCTTGTTTTACAACGTCGAAGCACCCGGCCTGCTGCAACATGTGGGCTTTTACACGGAAACTTCTTCAACATGATGAGTGAAGCCGTCTGCCGGTGTCGGGTTCAGGTATCGAGATGTTCCACAAGTCTCTGGACCGGGCCGAGGCCGGCGATAACCTGGGCGCTCTGGTTCGAGGCCTGAAGAGGGAAGACGTGAGGAGAGGGATGGTGATGTGTAAGCCGGGGTCCATCATGCCTCACCAGAAGGTCAAAGCACAGGTGTGTCTCTTTAAATAATCACTTACTAATGACGTCTAATTCAGATTTTCTAATTCATTCCTGGTGCGCTCTCTCACTCTGGAGAGGTTATAAGGTCAAGACCGCTAAGTTGGCGAAGTTGTTTTATGATGAAATCAAATCCCTCTGATTACCCACAAACCACATCTGTGTTATAAAAGCCTTTGTAGGTTTCAGCAGAAGTCAATTCACACCAATTAACGCCAAGCAGCCTATGCGGCTGAAGTTTTTTCCTTCTCCAAAATATTTCAGCAACGAATCTTTATTTTTAGTTTGCGTCAGTTTGAAACGAGGGTTATTAGCTAACACGATTCACAGCGTGTCTAATGTTTTCCAGGTTTATATTCTGAGTAAAGAGGAGGGAGGCCGACACAAGCCGATCGTCACCAACTTCATGCCCATCATGTTTTCCCTCACCTGGGACATGGCGTGTAGGATCGTTCTACCTGCAGACAAGGTGAGCATCTTCCAGGGTTGTTGTCTCAATTCGACCGGGTCGAGAGTCTAAGTTGCAAATCGGGTTGTTGCCGGACGATGACTGTGTTGCTCTGTTTAAGGAAATGGTGATGCCAGGAGAGGACATGTTGATGAATCTGACGCTTCGCCAGCCCATGGTGCTGGAGAAAGGCCAGAGGTTCACTCTGAGAGACGGAAACAAAACCATCGGTACCGGCCTGGTCACAGAAATCCTGACCATGACAGACGAAGATCAGTTCAACTGGGGCTGAAGGGGAAAATCCGCAGAGATGGCGGGGCGGGGGCGGGGAGGGATCTGTTCGTGGGACGGCTGGGAGTTTGTCGAGTCAGATGAATTTATTCAACAGAAACACAGAAAACTGAAATAAAAGCTGAGATAACACAGAAAAAAACGCAAGCATGTGTTAAGCAGTTCCTCTCAACCAAAATACCTATAATGTGCAACTTAGACTGTATTGGTCAAAATGGTCATTTGTGTAATAAAATGTATTTAATAATAAAACTGCCTTGTTTGTTTTGTGGTGCTTGGTATCACCAGCTGAATGTTTTCCTGTAAAGTTTAATGTCTCAAACATGGAATGAAATTATTATAAATTTTTGCTAAATCCTGAAAAATATTGCATATCGAACAAGTCTTGCGGCAAAATTGAGATTATGTAGCATACAGGTGTGCATGCTATTGTGTTATTGTACCACAAGAGGGCAGCAGAGGTGCCTGAAACAAAGTTTATATTCTCGTTTTTAGAATAGAAATATCCTTTGTTCTGTCGGAGAATTTCATGTGTACTAGTGAGAAGCAAATCGAAGAATGTAGGTAAACACGAAGCTAAAAATATTAAAAGAACTAAAAATTGAAAGAAGAGACTGCAATGCAGGGGCAAGTTTACAGTAGAAAAAAATAATACTGTACAGTTATAAATAGCTCCGATTAAAATAAATGTAAACGAAAACGACATGTTTAAGAAAAAGCAAAATAGAGATTTTTGCTTTTATTTTTTATTTTCTATGTCAGTTTTGGTTCTTCATAGTTGAGAGCATATACGAAAGTTATTTTACACGTTTTTTGTTTTTTAGATTTGCCTAAAATTTGAGAATATTCCTAATCTTGTTTCACTTCTGAAATATTGAAAACACAAACACAATCTGAAGTATAAATGTGCAGGTTTTATATTTTTTATTATGTTTTCAAAAGATCCCACTCACCAACACCTCAAAAGCGTCAATAAATTAACTGTAAAGTCAAATATAAATGATTTTAAAAACAAAAACGTGACAAGCAGAAACACCCGTGAATACAACTTGGAAAAAAAGCTAATTTGCATAAAACCGAAAATTATTAGTCGTTAATGTTATATTAGTGAAAACATTTATAGATTTAATAAATGTATTTATTCTTACAGCGTTCTGCAGGCCCGGAAGTGAAAGCAGTGAAATGCTAATCCGATAATATTAAAACATTTAGTATATGACATAGAGCATATATTAAGCATACACTTCAGTAAATCGACATATTTGTGTTCAAAACTATTCTTTTTTTTATTGGTCTCATGTAATATTTTAATCTTAAATGTCATGTTCTCATAAACTGTAGTGGAAAGCCATCGTAGCAGAAGTACAGGCTTGACTCGGTGAAATGAATTACTGAACTCAATAAACTTTTTAAAAATATTCAAGTTTATTGAATGTGACTTTGTATCATACAATATTTCCTTTCAGACTATAGCTGCGAAGAGACCTTAAAAATGCAGGATTTTATGACATATAATTCATGACTGTAATAATACATTTTGACAATTAGAATGACCTGGATCGGAACAAAACTTATTCATAACCTTTTGAGGATCTCCACATTTTCCATACACCACGTGTTTAATTGGAGAGAACATCACGTGCATGTTTAGTGTTGTTTTCCAGTATAAAATACACGTCTTCTGTATTTAGCTCCATCTGATTATTCAGCCTGTTCTGACCTTTTTCTGAAGAAAAACATCCTCACAGCTTGATGCTGCCACCACCTCGCATGTGGGCCAAAAAAAAAAAAAAAATCAAACACCCACCACACTTTCCAGTTTTTTTCTTTTTTTTTTTTTTTTAAACATATTCTTTTCCTTGTGCCTCAAAATTTTAACACACTCTGTGAAATATACCGTCTCCAGGTTTGCATCCTGATCGTGTCCCGGAGGTCAGAGCAGCGGTCGGTGCTCCGGCTGCTCGTCAGACGTTCTTCAGTTGCCGTGTTTGCTGTCGGTATTCGAGTCAGAGTCTCCTGTAATCCAATCAGCCTCCCGCTGTAATCAAATCCCGAACGTCTGCAGCGGTCAAGGGCCAGGAGCAAAGAGCACCGCTGAGTGATGTGCTCAGCTGGAGGACCCATGTTTCCAGGAGCTAAATATCTCAGGGCATCAGACAGTGAGAGATCTCTACATGTTTCACCAACAGTTGAAGCAGCAAATGCGATTCAAGCAGCTGCTGCAACGAGTTTTTCCACTTGTTAGTTTTAACAACTGCTCACGTTGCAGATGTAACGGGGTTTTATTTTGCCAGTGAAGTTTGTCAAGATTTGATTGGTCGTTCTTTGAGTTTGCTTTGTTTGGTCGGGAAGTTGTTTCTCCAGAAATTTATTGGCGTTTTAAGTTCCGTTATCCTGCACTTGGCAGTTGGTGGTTACCATAGTAACCGGTAACTGACAGCTCAGCGCCCTTTTTCTGACCTCTGATGGCTTTTTATACTGTAGACTGAAAGTGAACTGCTATTAAGTTGGGAATGATTCAAGTTTAATTTGGTACAAGCACAAAGAAAGATACTTTTTTTCTTCTTCTTCTTCAACGATTAAAACTGTTGAAACGATTTCCAGATGCAACTTATGTCCTAGAGATGCTTGGAAATAGGACCAAAAAGTAACACGAGTTCATATGAAGTCATTTCGAAGCAGTTAGATAACACCTTATCCCGTTCTGATCAGCCCTATTGCCAGTTTCCTTTGTCAGCTTTTCCCCACCCAGGGTGGATTTTTCTTCCATCCTAAAGTTCATCGTCTTTAACCTTCAAGCTGCTCACGCCCACAAGAAGAATAACACAATGCCACCCAAACCTTTTGATGCCAGTGGTTGTTGGAAAAAGGACCTGCAATGAAATATCAAGAAAATGCTAAGAGTGGGTTTCCTTGGCGTGACCATGTCTTGATTATATGTCGACTCCTTGAGCCAAGAACAGCTTCGATATCTCGTTGCAATCGATAGAAAAAATATTTCCAAGCGAAAAGTGGATAAGTTATCTTACATGAGTGTCAATGAGTTGCTTTATTTATGAAGCCAGTTTAAAAAAAAATAGCACCAAAACATGTTTTGTACTAAATACTTGCAGATGTTTATTAGAGTTAGAAAAAATTGGTGCTTTTAATAACTTAATTGAACCATTCTTATTCAAAGGTTATTTTGTTAAAAACTAGAATTGGGTGTGCAACTTAAATTGTTTCGTGGATTTAGCAGTAAGTTTGTCAAAATTATGCATGAAGGCTCTGTTATTTACAACCATCAAAAAGCTCCTAGCATAATTCTGGTTGGACGTGTGGATCTATTTCTTAGTCGAACAAGTAGAGCTCAGTTCAATCGATTGATTTCCTGTCACAGATACAGATACAGATTAATAAAATAAAGGTTATAGGTCCAAATTAGTTCCCATGTCTTTTTGTGACCATTGTTCTGTTAGATCATCCAATTTGTTTTTCATTCAAGTTTCATCTGTTTGACACAAACTGATGCCGTCACATGAAAAGAAAAGGTCAGGATGTTAAAAAACAAACATCCAGGCTTGTAGCTGTAGCTTAAAGTAGAAGATGCTGGGGCAGCAGTGAAAGGAGTTTAAAATTAGCGCCGAATAAGAAAGGAGCAATTCTTTCAACTCAAATGTCCACTTAAGAAACTTTTTTTTTTTTTTTTTTGCTAAGAACGCATATAGAAAAGATGAAATTGCCTCCACCTTAAAAACGTTGAAATGTGGCTGAGAAAAAGGTGAACACAAATCCACATAAAGAGATCTACCCAAATGTGTTTGAAAGGCAGCTGGGATGAATCAGTTGGGATAACCAAGCGATAATTTTAATGTTTTCATTTAGACTTAGACGGGACCTGTGGGCTGAAACAACTTCGGTTTTCACTTTTATTTATTTGTTTTTGGGGGTTGAGTAGTAACATGAATATCAAAGATATTTCATGGTCAAACAAGGCAAGAACTGAGCTGCTTGACCACAATGATAAGAAATATGTTGGGTAGGGGCAAAACGAGGACTTCAAACAACATGCATGGTTATGGTAGCATCATGCTGTGTGTTTTTTTCCCCCCTCCCAAAAAAACCTCAAAGTCAATAGAATAATGAAGGAGAGCTTCCGTCAAGTTCCTTATTTTTCCTGCAAATCTTCAAGTAGGTGGCAGAAACTTGGACGCACCATCAGGGTGTTCCAACATGATGACAAACACACATCAAAGCTGGGTTTAGAGTGGAAAAGGCAGACTCAGATTCACCGTCTGGGATGAACCTGGCCAAAGTGCCAAAGATAAGGAACAGAACACAGCCATGTGAAGGAGCAGCCGAACTTGTAATGGTCTGCAGCTCGCCTAAAGACCTGCAGAACATTTTAAGATAAAGAGGAAGCTCTTCTGCTTGGAAGAAAATCAGTAAGAAATTGAAGGCGGTTTAAAACCTCTGCGCAGAACAGTAAATCACTCAAAGGAACAAATTTTATTAGCATACTTTTTTTTTTCCCCTGAGACCATTAACTCATTAAGACTCATTAAATTCTGACAGTAATCACTAATTTGACGGCAGCTCATTAGCAGCAAATAAACGATGTTGTGCCGAAGCGTCAGGACTTCTTCGTCGAGGCGCAGGAGCTGCAGCTGCCAGCGGAGCGTCGTGTTCCTCTGCCCTCCACCTCTCTCTGTCGGCTGAAGGGAAGCACAGATAGCTGCCACAATTAGGGCTGAGTGCGGCTTTCAGCAGCCCACTCTGTGCGCTCAGAGACCGACCCCGCATGACTTCTCGTCCTCCGACACATGCCGAGTGGGTGGGAGACATCTCCTCCATCACACGGCTCATCTCGGAGGATGCAGCTCCACGGAAGTGACAAGTAATGTTCTCATTTAATCTACCAAGAAAAAGGTAGATGTTTATCTGCAGCTTGATGCCTTTTTGGCGTCACATGTGTCAGGTCAATTAGTAAAACCGATCCGACGTCTGAAGGCAAGACCGGGACGCGAATGTGTTTCTAGTATTTCCTTCCTGGAAGGACAGAAAGAAGTCTGTTGCCGTCTGAAAATCTATCTCACGCCTCCAGAACCTCAACACATGCTCTCATGTTACGACCCTTCTGCATTCTTGTTATCTGTGTGCCACCCCCTTTTTCTCAGCTTCCACTAAATAAAATCCAGTGCAGCCAGCTGCTTTTCAGACGTCGGGTAACAACCGCACACAAATCACGCCGGCCATTGTAACTCTGGAAGAGCTACA